GACAAACGATCAACGAACCGAACGATAACGCTGTGTCAGATGTGGAAAGCAATAATAATATAATCTTCTTCCTTTTTTTCATGACAAGCAACCCATGCGACATAGCTCACTCGGGGCGGTAGAAAGAAACGAGAAAATTTTTGGCTAGCTGCTTCACGAAGTAAAGCCGAAGATGATACACGTGCGTTAATGGGATTTTTTTTTTTGTTATGTCTTTTCTCGATTCAGATCAAGCTATGTCCTCATCCTGCCCCGTAATGTGGGTAGATCACCTTTTCGTGGTACGTTACGGGATGTAAGATCTACCACCGATTCCTAGTTCTGACTACTTCAAACTAGAGGAACAGGATTTTTCTGTAATCCAAGGAACACATCTTAGTCCTTGTTACTTTTTATATCTTGTTGATAGTGACAAGACTCGGCTTTGTCTACCGAGGATGATCTTGAAAGAAGGAAAAAAAATGAGTTAGTTGTCTTCATCTATGTGATTCCTAATCTTCTATTCATTGTTTCCTAGTTTGAAGTGGTTAAGACTAGGGTTCTGATGCATGGTCATTATCGGTGTCATACCTTAATTTTGTTGCTAAGGAATCCAATTTTGATTGACAAAGGGGCGCGCCTTTGGAGGGTGTTTCAACACTCCGAAGGGTATAAATAACGGGACCTTTCAATTAGAGTCGGATCCTTGCGATAAATGCAAGAGTGACAACTGTAAAAAAAATCGAATACTTCATCATTTCTCAATAGTGATGGAGTAATACGACATACACTAAACTAAAGACACGGGATATACTACAATAGATCAATTTACTGGTCGCAGTAGTGTAGAGGAAAAAAAATGTCCTCATCCGTGTATATCAATACATACAGGTACACACTTTCTTTCGCTGATCTATGTTTCTTGTGTAGGGAAATTAAGACAAGTAATATTGACTTTAATACATTGAGGTAAAAAGGCTTGCGTATTGTCAATATTCGTTTATCGATGATATTGATGGCGAAATTGACGGGTTTTTGTCAATACATTCTGAGTATTGACAAAGTGAAATGAAAATAAGTTTTTCGTCAATACTTGTCATCAATCATCGCCTTCAATATCACCTTCTCAATAATATTGTCAGTATGTCAATTTATTGTCAATATATTGATATATGTAATGAACACTTTGCAACAAAGCAGGCAAGCAATATATCATTATCCTTCTACCACTCCGATCGAGCCATGTTGCAGAGCGAGTTTTTCATGGTAGTCGTAGCAACCGATTTGTCTGTATCATTGGTTGCTTTATGTGTTTTGATTCGCTGCTCTGCTGGCATTATAACACCGACGAACCGACGTGACAGCTCCTACAAGCTACATTTAAATTCTTGCCCAAGACGCTTATTTTAAATACGTTAAACACTACCGCCGTCTACTCATCCGATCGCTTGATATCATGAGCAAGGACACGAGCACACGTAGAATTTATATTGTGGACAAACGAAATGCTCCTGTGGCATGTCGGTTTGTCTGTGCTTATAACTCATATATTGAGAAACTCTGATGGTTTCTTTGTACCTCTCGAGCAATTCTAGATAGAGCTTCTCTTGTTAATTTATAGGAATTCAATGCAGGCCTACACAAATCAACATATCCATCGGGTAGGAGAAGTTTTCCCTTACTCGCTGGTTAGGTCGATTTACCAGGAACAGCCATGACTTTCGAGAAATCATCGAGTAATGTCATCCCAAGTAACATTGCAAGCTTTATAGAGGTTTTATAGCATTCTACAAGTCTAATTCATGGTCTACAGAACCCTCATAAAACCAAAATTGTTACTTGGGATTGTTTACAAAAGCTGTTACGCCCTAATTCCAGCTCTATCTGACTTCTCGCTGCAAGATTTCACTAATCAACCTTGACAGTGCAGGCAAGTTAAAGTATCATTTAAATGAGTATCTTGTACACATTTTTTGAAGTTAGTCAAAAACGCCAAAAAAATTAGTTTTTTTTCTAAAAACGAAAAGAAAATAAAATGAAGTGGCGAGTGATTAATAATTTTATTTTTAACATCGATTACGTAACGGTGGTACGATGTAGCTAGCAGTTTTGATCCCACCGGTGTTGATTGAAGTGAAAAATTTTATTTAAAAAAAATCCTGCGACTGGAAATTTCATTGTTTCCTTCACTTTCAGAGAAGAGAAGAGTCGAATCTGAATCAACAGCACAGGGTCCGAACCTGTTCGATGAGCAGCAACCCTCGTGGTTCGATCCCAAGTAGATACTATTGGTAATTTGTGTGTAATAAAGAGTATGGCGCTTTTTTCTAATTTTTTCGATTTTTAGGGCATAAATTAGTTTGATGCAAAAAAAAATCCTTAAAATGGGTACTTTTTACTCCTGTGCAAAAAAAAACCATGAAGACTGAAAATATACATTTTTCGACGTATTCATTGAATACTCGGTTTTACTCATTTAATGAGTTATGCCACTTTTCTTCAAAATAAGTAAAATTTTATTTATTAATGGGTACTTTGGAGTATGTGCAATATCAATTTGTTTATTATTTTCAACCACTAAATCAGCTGTCAAAATGGTCGACTTGACAGCGGTTTTTTTTTTCAGCCGGTAAAACTGATGTAATAGTAAACCCGCTCACTAATACTAACAGCACAGACAAACAGACGTAACTCTTCATTGTGTATCTTCGTTCACGCATTTAACGGTTGATTTGAATATTATCAGTTCCGCGAACTACTCGCCGCAGCGCTGGCATCGGATCACTTTGACGTTTCTATACATTCTATAGAACTTTTATGCAATATTGTTTGCGAGTTAGCGAGCAACCTTGTTTTCCGCGAGAAGCCTGAAAGATGTCGCTACTGATGTCCTATGTTTTGAGATACTATGTTTTCAAGAAAAACTTTTTCAAAGAGTTACGTCTGTTTGTCTGTGCTAACAGTGACAGAGATGTCTATAGAGATCTCCAAGCACTATCTCATGAACACTAAAATCCAACATCCATATATAAAAATGAAAAAGAAGAAGAGCCAAAAACGTATCGCGATATCACAACTACTTAAAAAGGTAGCGCGCGGTCTCACGCACACTTTTGTGCATCTGGAGAACTCTATTCACCCCAATCACCAACTCGTTCGCAGACGAAACGAAAAGCACGGCTAGTTTTACATTGCCAGACCTTTTGTCCTTGACATGAAATTGGAAAGCCACTTACACACTCATAAAAATAATCACATAACCAGTGGAAAATATCCATGTGAATATCAAATAGCTTTTATGTGAGCCCATGATTGGAAATTGCACCACTAAATCACATGAGTCTTATGTGTCCAATGAAATCTATATGATTATGCACATATCATGATATTCAGATAAAAATCATTAATTTTGATATTGGAAAAATATTATGTGCATTCCTAATAGAAACTTAGTGGAAAATTTTATCAGTGCACACTTAGAAATAACTTCTTTGATACAACGAGGGGAACGTAAACAATCATTTAATGCAAAAATAAGTTGACCGAAACATAAACTCCTCAATTAAAAGTACGCTTGGTTGAGTCCAATTTCGCTTCTCTTGTGATTTAATGTTAGGTCAAAAGTGACGCTTTTACATTTTAATCTTAGGCCCCCATCTTTTGCATTCGTTTTTTACGTATTGTGAATGACCAAATCGTCAACCTTTTTTTTCCAGAAGGGCACTCATTTGATGTATTTAGTTCAAAAGTTCAATAGTTCCCTCCACCTAACAGTACTGTTACAGCATCCAACCTTGTAAACTGCCACCACCTCAACAGCCAACAACGGTTAAAGCAGCCCTCCGGGGAAATCTGATGACCTAACCTCTTACAAGCAAATCGACGTAATATTGCAAACGGCCCATCTTGAGCCCTACGGGTCTTAAAATCTAAGCACCATTCGTCGTTTCTGTATGAGAACCAAGATCCATCCTCTCTCTCTCTCTCTATGTCTATGAATCGACTGACTGACGACGACGACGACGACGACTGGAGATGCTGGGGATACAATCAGCACTTTATCTCACTTCCGAACAGAACGAAACGAGAAAGCATTTTACCCCGACCGAACCGAAGCGGCGCGGACAACTGCGCACTCTGTGGTTGCAATAGGTTATCGCAGTCTTTTTATTTGCGGTAATAAATTTAACAACCCGATAACAATCCTCTAAACCGTTTTCCAATCAACACACAAAACATTGTAAACTACTTCACTATACTTCATCGGCGTCGTCGTCGTCGTCGTCGGAACCAGCAGCATGGGAAAATCGGACGAGTGGGGTGTGCGGTGGTCGATCGGACGTTCGGATACATAGTATTTACCTAGTACCGAATCGATTGAAAGTAATCAGCAGCCGGTAGATATGGGCTGACGGAAGAAAACGTTACCATTTTTGGCTGTAAAGGTTCGACGATCTACTGTGTGAACTGAGAACTTCCTTCCTAGCGTTGGAAGCGTAATTTATATGTTTGTTCGTTTATTTGCATTTGTCATTTCGCACGTCGAGTCAGTCGTTCCAAGAGATTCCCCGAGCATTCCTAAGGCTTAAGAAAAGAAGCTTAACGGCCAATTAATTAGTACTGCTGCTGCTGCAGCTCTGTGCGCTGGTGGTGGTCTCCTCCACCACAGGCACTGGTCCCGATTTATCACTATCGCCGTGCATTAAAAATAGCAAATTGCTTTTACGTATGTTTTCCTCGCTTTCCGTTGATAAATTATCAGCTAATAATGGCGTGGAACATTTTTATTTGAAACATGTGTGGCTCTCTGAGCCCGGCCGATGGGAGGATGCAGCTGCAGATTTAATTGAAGCAATTAATCTGGAGGGTGTTGGTATAATTCAACTACCGGTAAGCTGATGTTTAAACCGTTCAGGTCTGGATTTATGGGTTAATATTTTAGAAGCTCAAGTGAGATAATCAGCAATTTCGGCGGTAACTCGATTTAATCTAAGTTCTTTCTACTGTCTTTTTTTTTACAGGACCTCTGCTGGTATAGTGGGTGGCCACTAGCCGTCGGCGGAGCCTTGGTGCTCCATCTCGGTGCACTTGATGAGTCGCTGGTACGCGTCCAGGATCTCTACCTTTGCATTCGTCCGGAGCCGGAAACGAGCAAACCCCGTCTCTATGCGGTTTGGCGTGCCGGAGGAACTCCCTCGAGTGATCAACACCAGTCAATCACCCAAGCACCACTCCAATCCACCCCCGTCGTATACCGTCAATTGGATCCGGCCAAAGATCCAATTACGCCCCTAGCTGTGGAAATGCTAGCTGAAGACTTGCCCGCACTGCTGCAGAATCTACTGGTGGGCATCGAACGAGCCATCTGTCGAGTGCCGCTAGAAGAACTATCCTTCCCCACGGGAGAATTCACCGGTACTGCAACCTCCACCATCAGTGACGAAGTCGATGACCGACAGAATAATAACGGCATTCTTCCCCCGGAGCCAACGGACCGTCAGGACAAATACATCCTAACTCCTGGCACCCCAAAGATCGGACTCAAGCGCCGTGAACTCATTACCAAGAATAAGTTGATCAACAACAAGTACGCCCTCAAAAGGATATCGTCAACTACAACACCAACGACCACAGCGGTCAGCAACAGCAACAACACCAACAACAATAATGGCTGCAATCATAATAACACCAACGGCAATAGCTTTATAAGTCGCAATGAGTCGGTCGGAAAAAGTGAAAATACTCCACGGATCAACGGTAATCAGTGTAATGACGACCTAGTGACGGCAATCGACGGCGATCATCGAAGAACCGAAAAGGAAGACGGCGGCAGTATAAAGCTCTGCGACACGGGTGGCACAGCTGTTGGAATCGTGGGCGGTGGAGGAAGCGATAATCACCAATCAACCACCACCACCAGCAGCAGTACCGCTAGTACGGCGGACATCAACTCGATGCCATTATTCTGCCTCGGCGGATCGTTTCCCCATATCGATAGCGATGAGGAGAGCGGAGACGATATGAAGCGATACGAGACAGGTGAGTGCCGAGTGGTTATAGACTGGGAGATAGATGGTGGCCCTGAAAGATCTTCTTTTTCCTCTGAAAACGAAGTGCATTATCCGGGGATGAGCATTTACGATCGGGTATGAGGTAACAGTCATTATCTTTTGTGCGATGCTCGTAGCTCTAGGTAACAATGTTGTGTCACGTAATTTTATGGCTTTTCTTAAGGGTACTGGGCTACAAGGTCAAGAGACACTTCAATCAAGCCGGTGGAGAGCGAACGTCTCTGGAAGCTTGAGGCTGTAGAATTCCCACATGAGGATGATTCCTATGTTTCCTGGAAAAATCAAGCTTCTTTTCATATGAACTCATTATCTCTCGATCGAAAGGTAATTTGTCGCATAATTTATCAAGACAAAGTTATATTTAGCAATCTTAGTACTCATTAAAACAACACAAAACGGTGTTTTATAGTTGAATTTTACACTTCTTAAACATATAAATTCTAAATAATTGTCATTCTACACTAATATAAGGGATAAATTGGAAGCACAAACACAGCAAATACATTTCGTAAGGGCACATGTTTCAAATTTTTCTTGTAAATTTAACCTATACAAATTAAATTTAGAACTTGTAAACCAATTTTACAAGCGTTGTAACGTTAACGTTTATCCGTTCACCACAAAGTTTTGAACTACTCAAATCTGAAATCATTGATCAATCCTTATAGGCAATGATCACTAGACTGATGCAAATTTTGAAATTTTCGCTCCACAGTGCTTAAACGGTTCCAAATTGGGTCCTGCTTAGCCTCCCAAATTTTGAACTATTTTAGTAAGAAACAAACTTGGCACAAACCATTTCAAGTTTATATGGGAATTACTATGGAAAAACTTATGTTTTTGTTCACATCTATCTATCAATTCTCCACATTACTGTACTTTTTAAAATGATGGCAGTGATTAAATTTCTATGACTATTCTTAGGGGAAATTTTCTCAGCTACAACTTTGTTGAAAACCATTTTTTAATCAAATTTAAGGAACAAAAGTTATTAATGATTCAAGCCACTGATGTCTTATGATTATGCTCATTCAACTGTTCAGCAGACAACATTGGTGTTTCTGGTGCGAAGAATAGAGCACAAATATAATGGCTACTATATCACACCGCAGAATACAGTGTTGCCCACAGAACAGCTCCTTGATCATGCCATAAGATTATCGATATCTTAAACAATTAATAACAATTTAATTTGACATTTGGCTGAAAAACAATGTTCAACAAAGCTGTAGCTTAGAAAATTTCTAATTATAAATAAATATTTTCGAAAAAGCAATATGGCAAATGGGTAGAAGACAATGAACAAAAAGTTTGGTTTTCCCATAGTAATTTCCATATAAACATCGAATAGTTTGTACCAAGTCAGTTTCTTACCAAATGAGTTTAAATTCTTAAACCGTTTGAGCACTGTGGAGCGAAAATTTTAAATTTTGCATCAGTCTAATGATCACGCACGGGAGAGTATTTCCTACGCTGTGTATATTTATAAACTAAAGTGAAACGGGTTTTTCGCTATCCTGCCATATGCCAATTATATTATGACCATATTAAAAACTATTGCTTCATTGATATTGCGGTAAAAGAGATAAAATCGGAAGGGGAGCGGTTCTTCCGACCGCCGAGTTCGACCTCAGTGAACTGCACTAAAAAACTTGTATTTGAAGTTTCAATTCAAATTATAAAATTGTTACATTAAATTTTAAATTTGAATGCTTCAGTGTTAATATATGTACTTTAATTTCAGGTTTTATACCTTTGCTAGTTTAACATTTACACTAAACATATAAATATTTAACATTTAATATGAAACATATGAATTTTAATATATGAAATATAAATTCATTATTTACCATTTGACAGTTAAAATTTAATAGTTAACATTTATTTGTTAACGATCAATAGTTAAAATTTTTCTTGATAACGTTCAAAAGTTAACATTTAATAGTTCACATTCAATAGTTTACTTTTAATAGTTCACATCATGCTTTGCATACACAGTTTTACTCACGAACTACTAATTTGCTAATAACTTTGCACAGAGTTGACGGAACATAGTTCTGTTTAAAGCAGTCGATAGAATAGAGTTTAAGTTTGTTATAGAGACGTGAAAAAAAGAAGATTTTAATTCTAGTAATAAACTGTATTTGATTTTGCGTTGCAAAAATGAAGTAAGAAATGATCGCTGCACATTTCGGACTTCAAGTGTAAAAATTCATTGGTGTTGATTCAAATGATAATATTTACCTACTCTTTGCATGTCTACAGTAAACTATGGTCCTAATCTATCAATTTTACTTTAAAGAAAACTCAATTGCAACAACTTATTGAAAAGTTATTAACAAATGAGCAGTTGGTGTGTACAACTGTGCATGCCAAGCATGGTTCACATATGATAATTTACATCTATAGGTATACCTCGATATAACGTATCTGTCACTTTTGGCTTCCATCGCTGATTTCTAGTTAACAATCATCAAATCAAGTAAAGAAATAACACCATCGGAGATGTGAGACAATCCTCCATCTATTCGTCATGCCAATTGGTATGATTGAATTGTTATATTTGTGAGACATCGAGGATGTAAGTCAAAAATGACAGTTACGTTATATCGAGGTGTACCTGTGATAGTTTACATATCTTGAATGAATTTTAAAATAGCCGTATCTGCTTTTCAAACGTCAATTTGTCGACATATTTAGCCAGTGCTGATAAAAATCATGTCTTCTACGCTCAAAACTACGACAACCTTAACAGATAGACCAACTATCTGCATGAATTTGAATTTTGACACACGCTTATTCTGGTCAGCTAAAAATTGAGCCGAAGGTACTCATCTCAGCGGAAAGAAGGACTACTAAAAATAGAGTAGTCTCATGTTGACTAACTTTTGAGTAAATGACGGACTCACGTAGACTGATTAAAATCGACTCAGCGATATTTTAAGTTTTGGAAGGAGGGAGTTTCTTTTGATTCTTATTCAAGGAAATGAAAATTGTCCAGGATTTTGCTGACTGAGTGGCTTTTACTCAGTTTGACATTTCTCGTTTACTCAGTTTTTGACAACTCGATACATCAGACGAAAGTGAGTACGATCGACTCACCCGGTAAGTAAGCTGAAGTTAGCGTGCATAACTTTTTATTCATTTGTGAAAATATATTCTAGCCCTAAAAATGTGTTAAAAGTATTCATTAGGGTTTTAATTATAAAAGTGACACCATCGTATCCGGTGGAAATCTTACGTGTTCGGGATTTACGTGATTTCTGCATCTACGGAAAGACCATCACTGCCTCCCTGGGAACAAACTGGAGCCGATTGGTTGATTGGTTGATTGCTTTCTTTATTATAGATACTTTCCACCGTTGGCTAGTTCATCTCTAAACTGCCGATTTTTTGGAGGTAAGGATTAGAAGAGAAATTATCAAGTAAATTAAGATATTCTAAAAAATGTGTCCCATTTCATGATAGTGGACATCTACGAAGAGGAAACTGAATTTAACTAGCGAATGGTTCTGGATCCTCATTCGATGAACGGCATCCGAACAGTGAACTGGAAGACTCATCCGGAAGAATCACTGTGACTCGATAGGTCAACACTATTATCAACAAGATAACTTCTTTTCCCGGTAGCGTTGTTGAACATATGCTCAAAATGGTTGAATATTGCAACACGTCGGCTGATTCTAGAGACAATGCCCGGTTTTGAAATCATTTTTTTTTTCCTTTATTTTATTTAACTGGTGCCAATCACCGACGGACATCGATTGCCATTCATTGACGGCAATCGAATGTGCAGGAAGGCAGCTTCCACACCTGCGTAGGATATCGCACCCATTCAACACACATTTGCCGGGACGAACGACTTAACTTCCCTTCCGAAAGAAGACGTGACCAGAGATTTTTATGCCTCAGAAAAATCCCACCGACCTCGGCTGGGATTGAACCCAGACCCATTGGGGTGAGAAAGCAGTCACGCTTACCACTACACCACCGGTGCTGACCGGTTTTGAGATGTTGGCAGTGTTTCAAGCAGAATTCGATCACCTGATTCCGAGGCCAATAAACAATATGTAGCGATTTAATGATTCGTATTTGTTTCTTTTTTCCAAAATATAGGGGAAATGACGGCTTCGGCATGCCAGACTATTTTCGGCAACCCAAATTGAAACACTATTTTCACTGGATTTTCTGACGAAAACACTTCGCTGAATGCATGCAAACGATTGTTTATGCTTTCAGCTTTAATTTGACTATATTTTTACTACTGAGAAAAAGCAATCTAGCAAGGTTTTCTTGAAATGAAACAAACGCACTACAAATTGTAGCTGATTTCGAGTTGCCGATAACAGAACAGCAGATTTACATGCAGTTCAAATGGAACGGTTGCCGAAGAAAAACTGGTTGCCGACAATACTCGCTCTCACTAGAGAAGATTGGAGCTTTGTAAAAGCGTTTCAAAACAGCTTTTGACAATTCTTTCGACTGAAATTGTTAAAGCGGCTGGCAGCAAAAGATTACAAACAAACCAATACTGCATATGTGTGCGTTCCTTAGAGAAAAAGGCTATAGAAAGAAGGTCGCTGCTTAGGTTGCCGAGAATACGTAAATTCCCCTACTACTCGGTTTTATGCTACTTTATAGTACTTTTTACACATGAACAAAAAAAGCATCATGAGTAAAAAAGACTCATTTTCTGAAGTATTCATCGAATACTCATTAATATGTTAAGTCGGTTAGATTAATTTCATGAGTTGAGCCACTTTACTCTAAAATTAGCAAAATTTTACTCAATAATGGGTACTTTTAAGTAAGCGTGCTAGTATCAAAATCGTCATTTGTTTATGTTAATTCTAAGCTGTATGTTCATTATCGCCTGTGTTGTTGTCAATATTAATATTCGTCTGCGGATGATCAAACACAATATGATTATTTTCATTTAACACTAATATAGGGCTCAAACAACGTGTT